GGAAAATAGTGAATAGATTGCGAGCGTCTCTGCCTCCAGCGTTTGTTAAGGTAGTTTTAACATGCCTTGATCAAATGGTTGCCTTCAAGCACGGAGATCAAAATAGATATTCTTTTCACCAAACTTCTGGAAAGAAAACGAAGAATTAAATGTCCAGAGATGTCAGGTGTGAACGTGTTTATTTTGCCTTATTTAGGAAGAAGCAGACATTATACAAGACGGATAAAATGCACTTTACTTCATAACTTTGAGAACATAAAAAAAGATGGAATATACGCTTTGAAAAGCAAGAGCATGCAAAAAATCATCCATGCATCGTCGTGTTCATGCATTCAGACACACACAACTTTAACTAGGGCTGCTCAATTAATCGTATTTTAATCGGAATTACGATTTTGGCTTGCAACGATTATGAAAACAACATAATCGCAATAAAACGATTATTGTTATTATTATTATTTTTAATTCTGTTGGTTTTTCAGTTGAATTAAACTTAAAGTTCAGGGTAATCAACTGCCAACCTTGAGACCTCAGAAATCGGGACCATTTCAAAATGCAAAATAGGGGGTGCTAGTGGATCGCCGGAGCTGTTAGATTAACATGCTTATAAGTTATTGTAGTTATAAGTGTAATGCCTTGCGGCCTGTAGCACCATCCTTGATGGAGCATATGTGTGGGCTGGAAAGGAGCAGGAGTGAGCAGAGAGTAGAGTAGTTGTCGATTCTGTTTTCTGTGACTATCTGCCTCACGCTCTCAGACTTTCAGTTGCGCGCGCTACTAAAGAGACGTGTTACCATGGAAACCAAACAATGGTGAAGCTGTATTAAGGTCCGAGTGGAAACAGTCCTGAGTAAATCTGATTTTGTCAGAAATCGGGAGAAATGCGGGAGAAATATGACCCCGGGAGGAAACCGGGAGAGGGCAGTGAAATCGGGAGTCTCCCGCGAAAATCGGGAGGGTTGACAAGTATGTGTTAAAGGTCCCATGTCATGGCCATTTCTACTGATCATAATTCCATTGTTGAGGTCTACTAGAATAGATTTACATTGTTCATTGTTTAGATTTACATTTGGACCAATTGGTCCATTTGGTCGTTGTTACGTCACTTGGTACCAGAAAGAAAAAGAGAAATCCCCAACGAGGCGTTCTGTGGCAGCATAGACAGGTCTTCTCTGTGTTAGAGTTTTACTCCCTACAGGGTGTACTTTGAGGGTTAGTGACTCTGCAGACCGTTTACATGCAGAAAAACCTTCATAACACACAAGGGGACGGGTAATAACCGGAAAAGCATGACATGGGCCCTTTAATGTTTGTGGACTAACAAAACAGGTGGTCGATGCTAAAAGGTTTGAGTTGAGTTCAGGATGCTGTCAAATTGGCAAAATTGAATTTTTTTTTTATTTCATAGATCTTGATTCATTTTTTTTGACACATCCTCAGTTGTGGACCTCGGGATCATCGAGTGTTTCGGCCATTATCACAAGGAGGGCCCTGTCGGGGTGATCAAATCCCGCAGTGTGTATCTTTGACAATTGGAGTTAACCATGTTTGTCAAAATTAGGAATTTATTATTCTATTTAAAGAAACCTAAGTTTCAAGATAATTGCCTGAGCCCAGGGAGGACACTTTACTTGCCAAACATATTGAACTAATGGATTAATTATTTGTAATGGCTGTAACTAATTACACACTCTAACATTATGAATTCTCACGGCAAGTTGTGTTGACCCAGGTAAAACAAACAGACGCATAGTTAATGATATCAATTACACCTTAACCGCTTTGACAATTAAAAACGTCTGCTGTGAGAAAGATCTGTCGGACCTTGACACCTGACGAAGAGTGAACATTGTAATTAATTAGCTTTTTAATACAACGCTGCAGTAAAGGTGA